ACATTGGTCACTTTAACGATCCCGCCCACGGTGGCTCCTGGATCAAGGGTGCCATCTACTATTTCAAGATTGCTGTGGCATTGGCTGTCGCTGCCATCCCAGAGGGTCTGCCCGCCGTTATTACCACCTGCTTGGCTTTGGGCACACGCCGCATGGCCAAGAAGAATGCCATTGTGCGCTCCCTGCCATCTGTAGAGACCCTGGGCTGCACCTCCGTCATCTGCTCTGATAAAACCGGCACTCTCACCACCAACCAAATGTCCGTTTCACGCATGTTGATCTTCGAGAAGGTGGAGGGCAATGACAGCAGCTTCCTTGAGTTTGAGCTGACAGGATCCACCTACGAGCCAATTGGCGAGCTCTTCTTGGGCGGCCAGAGGGTGAAGGCCAGTGACTACGAGGCACTCCAGGAACTTGCAACAGTTTGCATCATGTGCAACGACTCTGCCATCGATTTCAATGAGTTCAAGGCGGCCTTCGAGAAGGTCGGTGAGGCCACAGAGACTGCCCTGATTGTGTTGGCCGAGAAATTGAACGCATTCAATGTCAACAAGTCTGGCCTAGATCGCCGATCCAACGCCATTGCCGTTCGCGGTGAGATTGAGACCAAGTGGAAGAAGGAATTCACCCTGGAATTCTCTCGCGATCGTAAATCCATGTCCTCGTACTGCACCCCACTGAAGGCCTCCCGCCTGGGTACTGGTCCCAAACTCTTCGTCAAGGGCGCCCCCGAGGGTGTGTTGGATCGCTGCACACACGCTCGTGTCGGCACGAGCAAGGTGCCATTGACTTCGGCGCTGAAGGCCAAGATTCTTGCCTTGACTGGACAGTATGGTACTGGTCGCGACACCCTGCGTTGCCTGGCTCTCGCTGTTGCCGATAGCCCCATTCGCCCAGAGGATATGGATTTGGGAGATTCCACTAAGTTCTATCAGTATGAGGTTAATCTGACATTCGTTGGAGTCGTCGGCATGTTGGATCCCCCCCGCAAGGAGGTCGCCGATGCCATTGTCCGCTGCCGTGCTGCCGGTATTCGCGTTATTGTGATTACTGGTGACAACAAGGCCACTGCCGAAGCCATCTGCCGCAGAATCGGCGTGTTCACTGAGGACGAAGACACCACTGGCAAATCTTATTCCGGCCGCGAGTTCGATGATCTGTCCACCGCGGAACAGAAGGCTGCCGTTGCACGCTCCCGACTCTTCTCCCGTGTGGAGCCACAGCACAAATCCAAGATTGTTGAGTACCTCCAAGGCATGAACGAAATCTCTGCCATGACTGGTGATGGTGTGAACGACGCCCCAGCTTTGAAGAAGGCCGAAATCGGTATTGCCATGGGATCCGGTACTGCCGTGGCCAAATCTGCCGCCGAAATGGTCTTGGCCGACGACAACTTCTCTTCCATTGTGTCTGCCGTTGAAGAAGGTCGCGCTATTTATAACAACATGAAACAGTTCATTCGTTACCTCATCTCCTCGAACATTGGTGAAGTCGTATCCATCTTCCTTACCGCTGCCCTTGGCCTGCCCGAAGCTCTGATTCCCGTCCAGTTGCTCTGGGTCAACTTGGTAAGTGAAAGCTGATTAAATCTTGTAATTGAAATATGAACCTAGCTCATGCTGTCTCCTTAGGTTACTGATGGTCTGCCAGCTACTGCTCTTGGTTTCAACCCACCTGATCTGGACATCATGGATAAGCCCCCCAGGAAGGCCGACGAAGGTCTCATTTCCGGCTGGTTGTTCTTCCGGTAGGACTACTTCATAAGCAATTGAGGGAGCTTAATCTCATATATTGTTTTTGTTCGTTTTGCTTTCAACTAATTGTAGCTACATGGCCATTGGTTTCTATGTCGGCGCTGCTACAGTTGGTGCTGCTGCCTGGTGGTTCATCGCCTCTAGCGAGGGTCCTGGTCTGACCTACTGGCAACTCACTCACCATCTGTCCTGTTTGGGAGGCGGCGACGAGTTCAAGGGTGTCGACTGCAAGATCTTCAGCGATCCCAAGGCGATGACCATGGCTCTGTCCGTACTCGTAACAATTGAGATGTTGAACGCAATGAACAGGTGAGAACGAACTGAAAACCGTTATACATATGTATGCTCTTCTGACTCGGCATCGACGTTTATCTTTGTAGCTTGTCTGAGAATCAGTCCCTGATCAGCATGCCCCCATGGTGCAACTTGTGGCTGATTGGATCGATGGCACTTTCCTTCACTCTTCACTTCGTTATTCTTTACGTTGATGTCCTCTCCGTAAGTATCAAGTCACTAACCAAGAAACTAACTTGTTAAACTTGACATCTTCCGTCTATAGACCGTCTTCCAAGTGACACCGTTGTCTGCAGAGGAATGGATAACTGTGATGAAATTCTCAATTCCTGTAGTTTTATTAGATGAAACATTGAAGTTTGTTGCTAGAAAAATCGCAGATGGTGAGAGTCCTATATATAAGATGCATGGGATTGTGTTAATGTGGGCTGTCTACTTTGGCCTGCTGTACGCTATGATGCTTTAAGAATATAATGATAATCCATAAGCCCAACTTCATTATTCTAATTTCTAGTATAAAATGTTACTAAATATAAACAGAAACAAACAGAAACCACAATTATAAATATCTAACGTAACGACATAACCAATATAAAGATTGTTCCCAAAATATTACTGATTTCCACCACCCCCTCCCCGGTATCACAGAATTACAGACTACTAGTGATACTGAAATACGGGGTCGCCGACTGACTCACTCCCTGCTTTGGCATTGAACAAACAGCGTCAGACTATTTACCTACCTACCACACTATGACCCTAACGATTCATCTAACACACACCACACGTATATACCCAACAAATATGCATATATATATATAGTATATTTGTGTTTGTATATTATTAAATTATAGCAGGATGCTTTTTGTACATACAATGCTGTAGGTTCATAAGAGTTCCAAACCGGGTATATTTTCAATTGTAATAGTTAGGTTTTATCCAAAAATATGTTTACTGTCTTGTCAGCAAGGAGCGTAAACACAAGATCGCTGTAAATGAGATAGCTTTTTGAACAGGAATGAAAATCGATTTGAACAATTAGTCTCCTCGTTGAGTAACTGACAAACTAATCTATCTGTAGGTTTAGTTATGCAAAAGAACAAACAAATTTAAATTTACTATCTCTTGCTACGTTTGCGTATTCGTGCTAGACCCCATTATTTGTGGGCATTTTTGTTTAGCCTGTCAAACATGAAATCTAATTTTTGTTACCGTTTTTCGTATTTGAACTCAGTCTATGGTTAACGTAATTCATATTTTCAAAGATACATATGTATAATAATCTTTTGCGTTCGATAATATTTTCATAAATAAAATCTGAAATGTTGGTAAACTCATTCCGTAGCTGTAAGAATTGTTTTTGAGCACAAGATATTGAATAAAGTCAATAATTCAGTACGCAGCTAGCACAACAACTACATCATATTGGGTGCGCTCGTATCGTATCGTCTCGTCTCGTATCGGCTTCAGATTGTGTTTTCAATGTATTGTATGTATTTAGGCAAATGCTTAGGGACCACCACCGTCTATAGCATATCGTCTATTCTATGCATACCCAAAAGGGACCACGACCACGAGTGTGGTACCCTGGGGTTGTGTGTGTGTGCAGCAATCATTTTGAACATGTTTAAGGTTTTAATTGACTTGGAATCGAATTGTGTAATTTATGTCAGTCTCAGTTCTATGGAATTAAGTAATCCTTCTAGCATTTTTAGCGAATACTTAATTAAATTAACATAATACATAATTTATTTTGTTATACAATTAGAGACGCTGTGAATTGATTAAACAAAAATTACCCACACAATTACCTAACATTAATTCAATAAATAATGCAGAACTAAAACATGCTGAGCTCTACGAAACCCGAAGAAAGGGCAGGGCCCAGGGAGTCATCTCTCCCTCCAAAAAAAAGCTTCCCCTGGCTGCTGCAAATTCTATTTATAATTCTGTATGCTTGCACGTGCACGTCGTTGGTGCGAAGAACGATCGACCTGGCAATTAAGTACCAACGACTTGATTTTACTTATCAGCCCAATACCTCTACCAATATACACATTCTCAATGAACTATTGTTTATTTTTTTATACAGTCAATCCCAGATTTCATTAATTGGATCCCCGATTAATTACAATAACATAAAATGAATCCATCCCTGCTTTAGAAAAGTACGTGCAGTTATTATATTATGTCGAGAGTGCGCCAAATTTGTGGTGAATGTAAAAAACAGAACGAACAGTTGCTGTACATTGTGGTCTATTACATTATCGCACTCAATGGCATAAACGAAAAAAAAAGAAAAGAAAACACAGATTTGAAATTCAGCATGTAAGATATCTAAACGTAAAAACGAAATAATAAAACAAGAAATCCGAAACTGGTCTACCTATGTAATTTCCCCCCCTTATAATAATGAATACCTGCATCTGCAAGTGTAAACCGTATGCCCACCGAAACTGCCAATTTCCAGAGTTTCGGAAGACGCAGTGCTCAAGACCGCTACCCGAAGCTGCTTACCTGGTCCTGGTCCTTCCCAATGCAGTACCATCCGCTCAAGTACCATACCCAGTACTTATCCCCATCAAGCTTTGGTTTGCTCATGCATTGATCGGTTAAATATGTTTGATGAAAAACAATTTGGTAATAATCGTGTCACCATTGTTTGCATATACAAAATGTAGTTCCTGACGCCGTCGTCGACAAGTGGTAACGGTTTTGCGCACCATAACCGGATACGAATGTGTGGAAATGAATGTGAAGGATGACAAATTTTTCGACCTTTATCATTCGTGTATTAATCGCTAAGCCAGCCCTGTTACTTGCAACTGCAACATTGAATCCAACATAAATAAAATTATTTGCTTTAGAAAGTAAAACATTAATGGAACTGTGGGTTAGTAAGAAAGGATTAAATAAATATATACCAAATATAAAAATTATAGCCTGGTCTTTTATTTTATTTGTCTGTACTTCGGGCATTAAATAGTAATTTTGAGTGGATTTTTTGTTTATTTATAAATTCCAAGAGAGATAACGATTGCATTGCGCCCAGTAACATATTGCAAAGCCTTTGGCCGGATTCTATGATCGGTAAAGTTCTAGATTTAAATTAAGCGAGCAAGCTTCATGGAATTTATTCCAGCTCTGGTTTATTTCATAAATTAGATCAGTCTGACCAACAAATGCATTGATCCATGCTGTACAAATACAATATTGACAACGAAATGAACTCATTTTCTCGTGGTCCGTCACTAGAGTAACGAAGGACTCAGTGTACTATGCTATTACGAGGGGGGTAAGGCCCATAATGTAGCAGTTTTGTCCGCGGATGTTGAGATGAATGAAAATTCTGTTGGATGCCATCGAATCGTAATTGCTTTGTCCTTGTGCTCCGCCACCACCACGGAGGATAGCTCATGTGCCAGATCACCTTGCAGATCTGTCAGCTTAATTGAATTGTCGTAGCTGCAAGTCAGCATGTAATAAGCGGAGGGAGAAAAACGAACGCACCTATAAAAATAAAGAAATGGAGAAGTTATTAGTTTATGGGCCGCTTTTGAGGAAAATCGGCGCCATTACCTTATTTCAGCGCTGTGAGGATAAAACCGCTGTATTGGCCGATTTCCACGGATGTCATATAGTACGCACGAGCTATCCGCATGTCCCGCTACGAGAAGCCTGCCTGTGGGATCAACGCAAACGGCTGTCACAGCAGAGTTTTCCAGTGTGCCATCCAAGGTGTTTACCGAAACGTTTACTCGAAGATCCCAAAAGCGTATCGTTTGATCCTGAATATAAAGTCAGTTTATAACAATAGACATACATACGTACATATGTCGATGGGGGCATAGGCACGGGTTCATGATTACCTGTGATCCGGATACGAGCATTGCATTGTTCCAGCTGAACAGGGACAATATATGGCCGGTATGGCCACTAAACGCCTGAAACGGGGTTCCTGAAACACAGTCAGTAATGTAAATCTTGCAGTCTCCAGCACCACCGCTCACTAAGAGTCGGGACTTCGTGGACGAGTCGTCCAGAAAGCACATATCGCGAACGGTGCCATCGTGCATATTCAACTCCATCTCCATATTCAGCTGGTTTGTATCGTTGTTAAATCTCATATACTTGATGGTTTTATCATTTGATCCTGTAGCAATTATCTCGCCATCCCTGGACCAGCATGTACAGTATATTGATCCTCGATGGTGTTTCGTCCGCTTGCATAGAACGGAGGGGGGATACACGGACGACTGGCCATTTCTAACAATAAATATGCATATGTATGTGCTCTTAGTAAATCACATTCCGTTCCGGAAAAATGGCCATCAAATACTACCTTAGCTTGGAAAGTTGTGGATACTGACAGATGCGAAAAGTCTTGGAGTTGGAACCCACCGCGTACAACTTTCCATTCGGATGAAAATCGAGACTCCGAATCGCCTGCGAGTCTGACAAAGTGGTAATTGCTTCGAAATGTGGCCGTTCTGCATCGCCCTTTTGGCAAAGAGAAATCGAATTTGATTAATCATCTGAACAGTTGTTTAATTTAATGCATACCATAATACATATGTAAATGCATATATTTATGGGCTTGTGTCTTTATTCTTTTGTTGCCAGCAGGCAAACTGCTTGCGTGTTCAAAATAAACAAGTGGGCCTAAACGGCGCTTACCTTTCTTAAATCCAAGTCCTTGGCTTCAGGATTCATGAATGATGAGTTTATCAGTTTCGTTCAGACTATTTGTAGTTTTAAATCGAGTATTTTCAGGTATTTCTTCGACCCAATCTATGTTGTTCATATATTACCACCGATGGTAATAGGTCGTCCAACTCTCCACCATTAAATTATTTATACCTGAGAGAGACGAGACTGTAGAGTGTTGGGCAACGTTTTCATAGATCTTCCTAACCGTAACGATATGTTCGTACATAAAAACATATTGGTAGAATTAAAAAAAAATTGTTTTATTTGTTTATATTTCTTGGTGAGGTAACCACCGCAACGAGACTTTGTGAAATGTATGTGTGTACGTTATTTAAATTACATCCGCTGGTTTTAGCACAGAGTCGAAATCAATCTGGATGCACCTGCTCCTTTGAATAAACATTACCAGAAAGAGTGGAGTGGACTCTTCCCTTGGACAATAAAAACCATGAAAAGATCATTCCAAACAAATACAATCGCCAAAAAAAGTACTCAGTTTAATTATTGTTACAATTTTTTGATATTTTATTTACGTAAAAATAAAATATTTGGACATATGATTGAATATAACAAATTAATAACCTTCTTTTAAAAATTTGATTGATTCTTAAACTTGTCTAGTGTTGCGAACTCTTATAAAACTGAGCGATTAATGCTCTTAAGAGTAAATTGTTATAACCTCACGGCCTCCTCCACGAACCATTAACACTTTTTCAAGGCCCTCTGTTAATACTTCCAGAAATTCCATATCTAAAATAGAGACAAGAAAAGTAAGTCACAGAGTTCCCAAGTCCCCAGGTAGATCGATCTACTTACAATTGCTTTCACGCTCCGCTCGCACTTCCCTAGGTGGTCCTGGTAAATTCATTATGACCAACTGGGCATCCTGCGACTTTTCCACAATAACCTCGTTCAGTTTTATTGCTGTGTGCATGCGACGAACATTGAACTCGTCCCTGAAAGTGTTTTTTTCTTAATTGGTGCGCCCTCGAACTTTTTAAGGTTGGGACTTACGGTTTCACATTGGACTTGAATTTGCTGTCGGCTTTCTCTGTCGATTCATCCTTGCTAGAAGTAGTTTCGGGTGCGTCCGTCTCCTCTGGACCATCCGAATCAATTGAGTTACGTTTCTCATCGTTATGAGACTCCTGCAGAGTGAAGGACCACAAATATTATCAGAATAATACAAATAAAGACCTATCTACGAATGACAAGTGCCGTTGATTTAAAAAGAACAGAAAATTTCATGTAAACTCATTGTTAAAAAGCCAAAAAATATATAAAACCAAAAACGATATCAATTATAACTTATTAATGTACGAATATATGGATTGGATCCAAAAACAAACGTCCTTATTGGTTTACGCTTCACGTGTTCGTTGATCCCACTCAACTTGTATGTTTGGAAGGACTGGAGGACTGGAAGTAATGCTAAATAATAATTTAAGTAGAGTACATACGTGATTCTTTGTTTCTTCTATAGTTGGATCGGCAAACCGAACTTTCGACGCCGTTCTGGTGGCGTCATAATGGTGGTCTACAATTGTTTGAACCTGGAAATGTTACCATGATGCATATGAAAAAACGGTTGATCAAGTGAAAGGAAGTCCAATACTTTTCAGGGGAATAAAGTACGAGTAGTCTTGGGTTTCACACAACAAAGGAACTATCTGTTATACAATCTGGGTATTCCCAATGGCAAATTTTCAGCTAATCTGATCATTGAATATTATATTTGGATCCGCATGCCAAAATTATTTATTAAAGTGCAACAAATATCAAGATTGTATAAGCTTGAGGGTACCAAGCTGGATAAACCACTCAAGTGCCAAATGTGAATAAATAAAGCTATCCAAATGAATACATATACGAGTATGTATGACTGACGCATATCGCAGCACACTTGATTACAATATACTTATAATGGGGTAATGATACGAGTTCAAACTTTGGAGCAGCAAACCAAATTTTATAAAAGAACATTCAAATGGAACTCATATTCGGAGCACGGTGGAACTTAGAGCTATCCAGCATAAAGCAATAATTCAATAATATCATATATGTATGTAGTATGTATATAAATATATATATAAACAGGATGCTTATCCAGACACACGGACATGACCATGCCCTGCCCAGCAGTTGCTGATGATATACAGACATATCTGTTGATGAAGATTACTTTCTAATGAATCAGACTTCTGAGAAATCCCTTCTCATGGGCAGATGAATACACGCAATATTGGATATCCCAGGGTGAGTATTCTTTGAATGATATACATATGTAATATAGTCGAGAGGGTTTTACGAGTTCCATGGGTGTTTGTTTTAGCCACATAGCCACATAATGTACAATTATTGATACAACACAGAAATGTATGATATGAAAGGATGACAATGAGAATCACACATGCTCATTATGAATGCATGTATGTATTTACATAGATAAACACAAAGAATGTTTTGGCTAATGAACAGGTTGTATCTTTATGTATAGTGATTCTGTATATATTCTTTACCAAAGACAATTTATTATCACTGGGTGTTTCCTTAAAATCCATTATAGTCTGAACCTTTTGATTTTCAAATATACAAATTGTAAAGTTTTAATTTCGATCTCAATATTGATATGGGTAAGAAGTCAAGTCGATATATTGATGGGAAACAAAAGCCGAAACCGGTTTCTATAGTTTTTTTCTACAGTTAAAGTAAATAAATAACTTATCTTCGTATAGAAATTATGCTAATAAAAATTTAATTAAATCAATAACTTAATGTGCAATATGAGTTTTAATCATTTGAACTAAAAATAGATCATGTTAGTATGAAGACCTGAACTTGAAATAATCTGCAGTACAGATGTGATGAGCATAATGAAAGTTTAAACCAGCAGGTTGTCTTGAAAAATAACCAAATACTCACCACTTTGGAGTTTTCTTTTTTATTTAAACCTAAGGCTCTCAGCATCTGATTGCGCTGTTCCATCATGAGTGTTCTCTCATAGGTGTACGCAGAAATGTCGCTGTTATTCTGCAAGTATTTCGCAAACAAAAAACAAACAAAAAAAACGTATAATTAATAATTATTATGAATTGACTAGCTCTCGCTGCATGGGTGGTATTATGCTGTACCATTTCAACCACTTCAACATCGGCTTCAATTCGAAGGTGGTATAGGAATGTCTTTAGATCTTTCTTCATTTGAATCGAGTTATCCTCGATTTGAGCAACTGTGAAGATGCGTAGCTTGCAGTTACGCCATGTGCGGTGTTGTTTTAGCAAGAATGGCAGCAGCATAAGCAAACCTCCGTCATGGACTATCCACCAAATATCAATGTTGCCACCAATCTGAAAAGCGGATACAATTAATCGGCAAGCCAAGGAAAATGGATTTTCTTTACTACTTTGTGGTTTGATTCTGGATAGAAGTTGATTCCCTTTGGCACCATCAGAGCCATGTGGCAGGCATCCACTGTTCGCACTGTTTGGATAAATGTCCTCCAGCTATTGCGGCCCTCCTGCCTCCAGCTATAGGGCCAGCCAATGATGACTGTGTTTGGCTTCATTCCCCCCAGGCCAATTGTTTGGATGCTGTAGGAAAGATGATATGCTCATGTTGGGCTCTAGCGATTCCAGACAGTTGTTCTCTGAACTTACACTGAACTTAGACCTTCTCCGATCTGTTGGGCCACCAAAATATCACAGAATCCCTTTACCTTCTCGTCGATCATGTACTTGCGCAATGTCGATTTTGCGTCGACTGCTTTGTTTGCAATTTTTGTGTGGTCGCCTTTTAACACAGACACACAAATTGTCAATCCTTTGCCAGCTTTTAGCTGAGTAGCAAAGGAGAATATCTTCCTATACTTTGGCAAGAAGTTGTCGTTGAGCTTCGAAAGCACCAAGATTTGCGGACGCCAATTTTTCGTATGCGGTGGGCCTTCTTCCAGACGGAGAAGCGAGAATCTCGCGGCAGTGAGAGCCATTCCACGAATGCCATCACCCCACTCCTTCTCGGCTCTGCAAGTGAAAAAACGGAAGAACACAAAGAAATTCTAGACTACCAGCAACGTATAAATATTTTGATATATCCTACCCTCGGTATTCTATATATTTATATATGACGACGGCCATTCCCATTGCAAGCAGTGCAAAATACCAGGAAGTCATAATCATGACTGATATGCAGAGCGTCAGGCCAATCAGGGATAAGCTCCAGTGATAGTACTTGAAGCGCGGCCTCCAATTCGGTGTCCTCAGTAATGTTTGCACGGCGCAAGCCAAATTTACGAATCCGTAGCACATGAGGAAGAACATGGATAGCAACGGCGCCAGCAAATCCACATTACCTTTTGATGCCAAAGTATGAATTATAAATATTTAATAAACGATTCGGATTCTGGCTTACCTAGGAGAATGCCGCACTGGCAAATGACAATAGTCAGAAGCAGAGCCCGGGTGGGCTCTCCGCGTTTGGAGGACTTGGCAAAAGGGGCCAAAAATGGTATTATTTCATCTCTGGCTATGGCTTGCAACAAGCGGGGGGCCCCAGTCAAACTTTGTAGTCCAGCCCCAAGGGTCGAGAGGAACGATCCAATCAATATAACCCATTGGTTTGGCCAGGCGATATTTGCTACGACCAGTTTGCCACCGATCGATTGTCCAAATCTAAAACACGAGTATAGAAATCAATACCTCTATCCAAAATATATCCATTGGCAGCTTACTTGTCTCTCAGCAGAAGATTGTCCACGGTGCCGGCGAAGAACAAGACGCTGGACAAGTAGACGGTGCTGGTTGTCAGGATGGCACATATCGTTCCTATAGGTATACTTTTCTGGGCATCAGCCAGGTCGCCCGATCGATTGGATCCAGCCATGATGCCTGGTTAGTGCCAAAACCGATTAAAAATGGATCACTTGTACGGAAAAAAGAAAACCAAACACACACCTGTGACCGATGGGAAGAAGATGCCGATCAGCAGCGTGAAGGTAGTGGTTATATCGGCCATAATTTGATTGTATGATTCGTTTCCGATATTCTCAATGTCAACCGAATCGTGGCCATACGATATAAACTGTCCCTTCTCCAAAAACGAGGGGAAGACATTATCGTAGAAAACGCCGCTGGCAAGA